GTACTACGTGAGTGAGGTCAGTCCCGGTCAGGTCAGTCTTTGTATTTAAGTCTTCCCTGCGCTATTCAGCACCATTATGTATGTATGAGAATCCACATTGCTTGTCGAGATTCTATTCGCACCGCATTGTCCATTCAGTCATTTTCATCACATTGCAGATCCTCGGTTATTACGTACATTGCATATCTGTGCATGTAACAGCCCAGGATGCATTTGACTGATCGATAAGGACTCACCACATCGCCCAGAGTTAGCGATACCCCTGAGAAAAGTGGTGTGTGTGTGTGTGTGTGTGTTGTGAACTGTCACCGCGACAAATCGGACAAAACCTTTTTTTTTTTTTTTTTTCCCTTTCTTCTCTTGTTTTTAAAAGGGCGACGGCCTTGAGATATGATCATTGAGCTGACCGGCCCCAGGTAATTCAGAATTATTTTGTTCTGTTCATCTAATCGTAGCTGGATTCGAACTTTGGGTCTGTACTTCAACAGTTCATTGGGTGTACCAACTGAGCTAGGCCTGTTGGTACAGAACCTTTTCCCACACAGATGAATCGATCCAAAATTGAAAGAGCTCTCCCTCCATAGCAAACAACATGAAGCACACCAAAGCCATTATATTGCCTTGTGCTGCTGTGCAGTGACTGCAGTCCTTTCGCCGCTTTCCTTACTTTTGATTTTTCGGGTTTTCTCGGTTACTTCTCCTTGCAGCTCCCCTTTCACTCTTGCAGCTCCCCTTTCACTCTTGCAGCTCCCCTTTCACTCTTGCAGCTCCCCTTTCACTGTGCCTCTCACGTACAACGCTTGCCACACTGATTTTTTTGTGGTTGAGCTCGAGCTGCCGACATACCCATGTGCCATAACGGCCCACTTGCATGCTATGAGAAAGGAGGCGGAGTAAAAGGGGGCTATAATGACCGTACGTTGCATTCGGGGGAAGAAGGTAGTAGTACACAAGGGGAGGGAGGAAGGAAAGGGGTAGGAGATGGAGTTCTATAGGAGTTGAAGAGTGGCGGAGTGGGGGAGGGAGAAGCGGTAGAGGAGGGAAGTGGAATGACAAAGGACCGAACAGAGGAATGACGAACTTTCACAGAGTTCTCACTGCATACTCACCACCGGAGCCGACTACTACTCTACCTTGTTCCCCCGAATACAACGTACGGTCATTATAGCTGTATCTAGACTGAAAGATGACTCACATACAGCTATAATGACCGTACGTTGTATTCGGGGGAAGAAGGTAGAATGGCACGAGAGGCCGGTCAGTGCTTCGGTTGCAGGAGATTTTGAGTTGAGGAGCGTTGCCTATAGTAAGTGTGACCACCTCTCTCTCTCTCTCTCTCTCTCTCTCTCTCTCTCTCTCTCTCTCTCTCTCTCTCTCTCTCTCTCTTCCCTTCTCTCTTGATGGATGGACTCGTTGGCTGTTCTTATCGTCACGAATGACTTGTTTTATAGGCTTTTTTGCCGACGTCTTGATATTGTTCTATGCCCTTGAGGCCAGTATGGATGTATGAAGTTCTCTTCAACCACCCCTACAGACTGGACAGGACCAGTTTGGG